CCCCTACAGGTGGCAGCGTCACTTACAGCCACAATACGAAGGAACAGTTCCTCTTCTCTTTGTCTTTGTGTGTTCTTTTTGCTGTCTGTCTCTATTAACGAGTGACGCAGATGTTTCCGAATGGAAATAAGCTGCTTGGATTTGATTCGCTGACTCAGGTTTGACGGCAGAGTGTCTGTGCATCAACTCAATAATCAGAAGTAATCAGGAACCACTGCAGACTGTTTCTACATTAATACTTTATATATTTGTTTAGTAAATGTACTGAAAAACCAAAACTAGGAGCTAAAAGAGGCTGAAAATAGAACTGAAATGTTGATTTAGTGAATCTTAGTTTCTCTTTCGCGTTCGGACGTTATTCTCTGCGTGGATCATAAACTGATGCCCGTTTTCTGATCCAACGCGATTCATTAATGGTTTTATTTTGAAGGAGGAGGTTACTTCAGAAAGATCTTTGGATGTATATTGATTAAATAAACAATCTGATAGCATTGAGAGAGAATTAAAGGCCTCTTCCAAATAAAGGCAGGTTGAGTTCAAATAAAAGCCCGGTAACTGGTGCTAACTGTATTAGCATACAGTGGTCTGCAGTAGTTCTGGACTTCATTAGTGTCCGATCTTACAAATGGACGGACTTTCATGTAGAATCCAAATATCTTCCAGACTTTAGATTTCAGATTTGATGGTTCACTGTAAATCTCGTCGTTCTTCAGCCGAGACCCTGGCGTTGACCTGACAGTGAAACACAATTTTAGACCATCAACCGGTTTATGGTACATTACGATCCATCCAGGATCCACGTACAGATGTAGAAGCATCTATAATGTTTAATAAAATCTTTACGCTCCTAATATTTGAAGGTTAGAACTTGGAATTGGCTTATTTTAGTTCAGATTGTAAAATACATTTCTACATTAAATAAATAAACCCTGAATCGTATCGTAGCCCAGGTATCTGGATGCGTATCGGATCCGTCCAGGTGAACTGAAGAACCAGAGAGTTTGTAATCGGTGATGTCATTAGAGGACGACACACACACACACACACACACACACACACACACACACACTGAAAGAGCAGCAGACACGAAGGCCGAGAGCTGGACTGTTGGTGGCTGTTGTGTCTCTAAACCAAATAATGTGGAGTGGGGTGGGGGGGCTGAGTGTCTGAACAGCAGCCAAGCCTGAAGGGGCAACCGGCGAGCCAACAACGCTGGTCGTCATGGTAACGGTAGTAGTAGTAGTAAAAGGGATGGCACAGTTGAATGTGTTACTCATTTATAATCAGTGATTCAGCTGGAGGTGGTGATTTATTTGCTCTGTAACAGATTGAAGCTACATCAACACCAGAAGTCTGGTAGAGTCTCTAATATGAAACAAATCAATACCGTCGGGCAGGAAGTCGCTTCTGAAGCGCCATCGGCGAGATTTCAAGACTCGAAGTTGACGGAACCAAAACATCGTAAAGTCAACTTCCAAATGTTCCTCTGTGGTTCTCGTAGTGTTTTCATCTTGTGAACAGTTTCATTTCCGAGGACGACCACAGCTCAACATATTTCCCTCATAAAACAAGTGCAAAACACTTGTTTACATTTTTAAATGCTAACGTACTGTTACATTAATAACACTGAGTGTGATGTTGAATCAAGTGTTTCAGCTGTTCGGGGAATTCTGTGGATGAGAGAAATTACAGAATTTAAACTAGATTAACACGAATATCTGAGTCTACGAGCTCGCTGTGCATGCTGAAGCAACTATTTTTGACATTATTTCACAGCAAAATTCACTTCTAACAATATTTGAATGGAGAAATCAACTGTGTAGATTTTGAATTTCGGCAGTTTGACGAACGGCGAATCGAGAAAATGTTCTAATTTATTCGTATCAGGAGAACCAGCGGGGGGGTTGCAGCAACATTTCTGTCAACTGTTTCGCACAGTATTTATTCTCTTTAGTTCAGCTTTAGCAAACTAACTTACAGCCAGAGACTAATGCTAAGCTAGCAGCATCCTTATCAGCAGGAGCTCAGACCGTAATGTTGTGATCACCCTACAGCGAGTAAAATGTGTCAATATCCGTCCTCATAAATAGTTCTCTAACCTTTAGGTTAAAGTGCACATGAATAATCAGCAAGAAGTGAAACTTATCTCTGATTTAATGCAGCATTTTAACAGAAAACTGTAAACACAGTGAGTTGTTATTGTGAAATGTACCATTAACTAACCACAACCAGGACAAAGCAACCAGTAAAATACCAACATTAAAACAATAAAACTATCACAAACACAAACATTGTTTTCACTTCAACTGGCTGTTTGAGGGTTAAAGTACAGAAGTATTAGAGTGTGTGTGTGTGTGTGTGTGTGTGTGTGGAACTGGGCCAGAGTGTCCCCAGTGAGCGCGCTCAGACCAGAGGGGCATCTACCAATCAGAGTGTGGCTGTCGCAGGGGGCCGCTGGCATCGATCAGGTCCTCAGGTGCTGCCAACACACTGTGTGTAAACAAGATTTACAAATCCAACAATAACAAATAATAACTAGTGCTGTCAAACGATTAAAATATTCAATCGCGATTAATCGCATTAATGTCATAGTTAACTCGCAATTAATCGCAATTAATCGCACATTTTTATCTATTCTAAATGTCCCTTGATTTTTTTTTGTCCCATTATTTTTTCTCATTTTAATGCTCTTATCAACATGGAAAAGTGGATCGGCTTGCTTTGTGCAAATGTTGTTTTTATTGAAAAATCATCCATTGTCGCCTGGCTTTGACGAGGGGGCGGAGAATGGTGGTATTTCAGACTGGACGTGCTGCGATGATAGCTCAGTTCACAACGACAAAACACACAGATCACTTTGGTCTTGTCAATGGAACCATTTGGCAACTTTTTAAAAGTAAACTTTCCATTCAGAATATTATTGGCATCCATTTTGGGGTCTCGCGCTCGCCATCCACTCAAAACGTAACGTCTACTACTCTTAAACAAGTGTGTGCGGCGTGCCTGTTGTTTTGTTTTCCTGTCTAGCTAGATCCGGTGGGTGTTGTAGTTTTTCTAATGTTACTAGTTGTTGCAACAGCATGTGAAAAAAACTACAAAGTGTGCTAGGCCAAAAAGAACGTTAATCTTGCGCAAAAAAATGACGCCGTTACAATGGGTTTGCATTAACGCTGTTAATAACGCGTTTAACTGACAGCCATAATAATAAATAATAACAGTAAATGTAAGCCTGATTATTGTATTATAGCAGAGTTCACCTGTATTTATAGCTCATTGTTTTACACTGTAAATATCTCTAATTAAACATTAAAAAGACTGAATATTTATTATTTCTGTTACACAGTGGATCTTAAGGTGAAGCTGCGGATTGTAAAATGATCAGCAGACGTTTGATTGAGGTTGGGATTGTACCTGTGCAGGTAACTCGTCTCATGTTTCCTGCTGGCTGAATTTACAAGTTTTTAAACATCTCCTCAGTGTCGTCTTTCTAATCCCCACCGTGTGGGCCGGCGTCATCTTCAGTGTCTTTACATAAAAAAAACTGCATGACATTTGTAAAGGGGGCGGGACTTGGCCTGCAGCACGCCGCTGTCCATCAAACATACGCTTTTAATTTTACATAAAATCTTGTCTAATTTACTGTAGTTTTAATGTTTAATTAAAGATATTTACAGTGTAAACAATGATCTATAAATCCAGGTGAACTCTGCTATAATACAATAATCAGACTTCCATTTACAGCAGAGTGCTGTTATTATTGGATTGTTATTATTTTAATGTGAATGTTAAAAGTTATAGAAGTGTAATAAAAGTCATTATCTGTGAGATTACAGTAATTATTGCTGTTTACACTGATAACAACTGTATTTGGACAGTTTACCAATGCTTATACACTGATAAACAACATTTATTCAACTTCCATCATTATATAACATATCTGTCAGTTAACTAACTAATACATTAAAGTCACGCCGCTGTCCGTCAAACATTTGCTTGCTGTCAGTCGCCGCCTTCATCTCTGGCCAGCAGGCGGTTGGCGGGTGATTGCAGCGTTTAACCTTGCCGACGTTTCAGCTCGTGCCTTTTTAAACTGTCAGATCTCTACGTAACCGATACCGCACGTCAGCGACACAGAGTTGCTTAAAGCGGTGTTTGTTTGATGTCAGATTATCTCTGAGAGTTTTAAAGTGTCTCCTCTTGATCGGATTCGTGTGCGGACTTGTTAAATGTCACAGTGGAAGATGTGGAAAGTGTAACTGCTGTCAGTCGAGTTTGTTCACAACTGAGAGTCAGATTTCATCTGTGAGGAGACAATCTGATGTTTCCTGATCGACAGCAAAACAACACGTGGAGTTTTATTTCAATTAATCTGGAAATAAAAAATAAAGATTTTTCATACAATCAAATCAGAGTATTCACTGTCTGAAACAGTTCAGCTCATCAAACTTTAGACATTACTTTAAGTTATTTGAACTTAAATTGGATGACATTGAACATTGTTAGTAACAACTCAATTGTGTGAGTTAACAATAGTCTTTGTTAAGATTAATGATCTGTATTTTATACAAATACAAATAAATGATGAATAAAAAATGTAAGAATTAAGTCAGTTTCACTCAAAACTACTAAAGCTTCTTAATCAAGGATGTTGAACTTACAAAATTGGGTTTTATTTGAGATAAAGTCTGACTGCTGAGATATAAAACAGGCTACATGAAGCTTTCATGGCCTTTGCACACAAACAGTGTTGTGATTGTAACAGGTTCATTGTTAGTTTGATTGTAGAATAATGCATATATAACATTTATAATGGATGTTATTCTCTGTATTATTTCAGTGACTAATCTGCTGCTCAGAGAGAATTCAGCCTCCACTTCCCCTGAACTCTACTGCCACACTGTGGTTACAGGTGGAACTACAGGTGTGTGACAGTAAAATCTACTTTTTATTGATTTGTGCTTCTGGCCCTGCAGGGTTGAAGGTTCGACTCCCAGAGCAGTTTAAAGGTCAGACTCCCAGGGGATGCTGGGAAAATGGTTGAGCCATAACCTCTCTGACTGATAAACTGTAGAGAAAGTGTAAAATGGGCATAAAACGTGGTCCTCTAGCACCCCCATATGGCCAACCAGTGTCAGTGCAACAACACTAGAATCAACATCCTTCTTAGAGAAAACTTTACTGTTTGTGCACATTGATTTGGGTATCTGGAGGGTCTACCAACTCAGAAATATATATATTTATATTTATATGTTTTATATGTTGAGTAGAAAGGAAAGATTGTAGGATGAAGTAAAGGGATAATGTCTAACGCGGTGTTCATTATCAGGAAGTAATGGACAAAGAAATATGACAACCTAGTAAAGACAATACTTTATGATGTTGATGAATAATTGTACATTCAGCATTAATGTTAAGAACAAGTGAAAGAGAAACAAACATATGTTTGTAATAATGAGACAGCAGGAGGAGCAGGTTCAGTTTAATTGCTTCAATTCAGAGACTTTTCCCTTTAAGAAATAAACATGATGAATATAATCAACCTCTTTATCTCTAACTGCTCTGTTCCACTGTCACACTGACCTTCACTGCTAATATCTTCAGTGGGACTTTATCCCCAGTGTAAATGAAAGGAAACATCATCTCAGTGAAAGTGTGTGTGAAGGTGTGTATGTGTGTGTTAGTATCAGGATCAGAGAATGACAGCTTTCCTCTGTTCCAGTCCAGATTCACTCTGATCCTCTGGAACGTCTTCTGAAACATGAGATCAGTGTCTGCTGATGGTGACTCTGCATAGTATTTATATCCAGAGAACAATATTCTCCATATTCCAGGCCCAAAAACACCCTTCAATTTTTTTCCAACCTCGACATCCCAGCTGTGAGTCCCTGAGTTAAAGCCCTTAGAGCCCAGAACAGAGAAGTAATAAACTATCCTCTCTGGATTGTCAGGAAGCTGCTGTGTCTCTCCTTCTCTCACAGAGGTCAGATCTTCAGACAGGATGAGTTCTGGACCAGCAGTGTTTGGATCCAGAATCACAGGAGTGTAGGAGACCATGTCCTTCATCTTGTTCCAGATGTTGAAGGTCAGATTGCCCAGGTGTTTGGCCTCGTCTATCAGAGCTCCTGAGGGCAGCTGTGGATCCTCCAGCAGGGGGCGCTGCTGGACTCTTTCCACTGCAGCCTTGTAGTTGTTCAGGAATGAGACGTCTTCAGCTCTCAGCTCCTCCTCTGTGGCTCTGACTGTGTCTGAAAGAGCTGCTATCTCTCTGTTCAGAGCCTCCATCTTCTCCTTCATCATCTGACTCTTCTGCTCCTCTTCCTCCCTCAGTGCAGCCAGCCTGGCCTCCTCTTCCTCTTCTAGGAACTGGTGAAGCTTCTTAAACTGCTCCTTAATCAGCCTCTCTGTGCGTTGGGCCTGGACCTTCATGTGTTCTGCTGTTTGATCAAACTTCACTTTAACTCCTTCAGAAACCTTTAACTTCTCCTTTAAAGGCTCCAGAGTTTCCTGAAGTTTATTCTTGTGTTGTCGTGCAGCTTCATTGATGGGTCTGAATCTGTGGTTGGTGTGTTTTTCTGAATCTCTGCAGACGACACACACTGGCTGCTGATGGTCCAGACAGAAGAGTTTGAGTTTCTCAGAGTGCAGACTGCAGAGAGCCTCTGAAGATCTCTGATCTCTCTCCTGTAAGAAACTCTCACACAGGTTCTTTAAAGCCCGGTTTAAAGGTGGTGGATCCTTCGAAGATCTCTTACAAACTGGACACTCACATGTTTGTTTCTCCTTCCACCAGCTCTTCAGACAGTCTTTACAGAAGCTGTGGCTGCATGACAGAACAACAGGATCTCTAAAGACCTCATGACAGACCGGACAGCAGAGATCCTCCTCTAATCTGGAAGCCATTTCGTCTCTGAGTGCAGCTGGAAACAGCAGACAGCACGTTAAACATTAACTCAGTTATGGTTCCCGCCCTGCTGTAAAAAGTTGCCTCAGTTACTTTGAGTGTTTCGCAGTTTTTACAGTCAGCAGCAGGTTGAAGGACTTCAGAGAACTTCAGAGTTCTTCAGTCCTCCGTCCTGTAACTGTCCTCCCTCAGTTAAAGTCACAGCTTTGTAATGAAGGTAAATCTTACCGTCTGTCTGTCTGTCTGTCTGTCTGTCTGTCTGTGTGTCTCTCCTCAGTGAGAACTGAACAGGAACAACCTGTTTCCTGGTTGGTCTCAGGTGATGTCATAAAGGGGCGGAGCTTTGTCAGCTGTGTCTCATTTTAAAGGGAAATATGATCCATCACACTGCTCTGAGATCACGTCACAAAGAAAACAACCAGACCAAATTCACTCTCACTCATATTTCTGATTAAAGATTAATGTATTTCTAAAGTAGAAAAATAAAATTAAATAAAAATTTCAAAATTAAGTTTGTGTCACTTAAAATTCCTAAAGCTACTTAATCAAGAATGTTTTCTATCAACTTACAAAATAATTTTCGATGTAATCCATTTCAACAATTGTTTTTGTTCCCTAGTGGAACTTTGGAGAACTGCATGGGGTACTTCACTTAAAAGACTTAAAGTCTGTCATGCACAATTCCTTAAATAAACTATCAGTTCAATGAAAAAAAGTAAATGTAAGTTTTATAAACCACATTTAATATTTAGTATTTGTAATTTCAGTGCGATTTGGTGAACAGTGTCCTTCCTGCCACAGACAGTGACAAAGATCCTCAGTGAAGCTCACGTTTCTGACTAAATGCTAATGTAATTTACGTTTATCAAAAAGACGCAGTTCAATGCAGCTTAAATGCTGTCTCAGCATTTCCACCAGTCTTAAGCGGACCCTTTTTAATCGAACCAACAGACGACTTCCTACAATGTAGAATATGCCCACTCTGGTTCCCAAGAAAAAAACTGCTGGAAAAAACCTTTACAGGTTTAGAATCAATTCATTGTTGGTCAAAATGCTCCAAACGGTTCAGAACCAGGTGTGCGAACTGGAACTGAGCCGGTTCCCTGTTGCTGGAAAAGTTCCTGTGGGGTTGATGAACAGGTTTTGTGTTCAGGAGGTTCCCACGGACTTCAGAAGTCCTTGTGGTTCTTCAGGAGGCTCTACGTTCTTTGTTTAGGTTTTATGGTTGAGAAGCTTCCAGGAATTTGTGTGAAAATAGAAAGAATCCTCAGGAGGTTTTATTGTCCTTAAGAAACTTTAGACTCGCAGCTTTTTAATTTTAAGGAGTGGGTCCTCTTCTGGCAGAGACCGCCGTGTTTCTACAGCAGCCCAGAACATAAATAATGTGGTAATAATGTGAATATTAACAGCAGCATTGATGTGTTTGATCACAGCACAGTCAGATAATTCGGTACACCTCATTGTTTTAAAGTGGAGGAACATTGTGCTGTGGGAACAGATTTAAGGGAACTGGTTAGATTTGGTGTAAAACCAGCTGATTGTGGCTCGGTTGTGAAGCAGTTTAGGCCACAGGACTCGGGTTTAATTCGGGTCACCAAAATCTTCCAGTTTCATCCTTCAATGTTGGCGCTCTGTCAGCCATGTTGGCTCCGTTGCTGCGAGTGATTTGTGTTGTCCCTTGTTGCTACGGTGATGTCACAGAGGAAGCTGGTCCAAAGTCATGACTCACCTGTAGCTCTATTTATATCTCACCTTAACAGCAGCTTATGTGAGTTTAACCTCCTGTTTCCGGTCCTCCAGGGCTGGAGGATGGTGGATTCCTCCGTCCGGGTTGGAGGGAGGTCAGTGATGGAACTGTATGTACTGTACTGTGTGCAATGACGATAAAATAAATGTTACTGGATCGAACTGTAACAACAGCAGCGCAACCTCCCCAAGCGCCTCGGAGGATGAACCCCTTCAGATTATTCCAAACACAAAGATTATTTATTGTTGAGGGAACCGGTTCAAGAACCAGAGCTAATCTGGTGGACCTCGTGGTCCACACTGCTCTTCCAGACAGTTCCCACTGTGTTTGTGAACCATTCATCTGACCTCCGCCCACTGTCTCACCATCACAGTTCAGCTGCATACTAATCCTGGATGAAATCATCATTTTAACTTTTATCTCATAAATTAGATTTTCTTGTCTCATCTTTTGGACTTTTTGTCTCATAATTTTATTTCTTTCATTCATTATATTATTTTGATATTGTTTGGCACGTAGTATTTCTGAACCATTCATCTGATCATCACAGTTTATGAATGATGATGATGATGATGATGATGATGATGAGGAACGACACTGAAACTAAACATTACAGCAAATGTAAAAACTTCTTTGAAATGACATTTATTATTTTGGGGTCAAAGTTAATTTTATATAAACTTATTTTGGTGTGAAAGTCGACGCTTTCCCTTTTCTCTCGTCGTTGGTCGCTGCTTTCCCACAATGCTTTGAGAGCTGATTCAGGTTACACTGACTGTTAAAGTTTTATGTTTCTGGTAGAGTTTATCTGCTACTTGTGTTTAAATCCATGTACTCTGTTCCCATAGGAACGGGGGGGTAACATGACATCACCTGGAGGAGGTCGTCACTAATTGGAGGGCGAGCGGGCGGACGGGTTTTTCCATCATTATTAGCGTGTTAGCGGCGGTGTCATTACTGTCATTAGCCCTGGTGTGTTTTCTCAATGACCCAATCCTCCGTCAACGGATGGAGCTCAACGGAGGGACGGAGCAGAGGTCGTCCGGCCCTCGGGGGGGGGGACGCCGGCCACGAGTGGGGGCCTTGTGGTTGCCCCTAGCAACAGCAACACAAAGAGGGCAAAATATTGAGGAGGAAGAGGAGGATGAAGTCAAACAGATTGAAAACTGTAGTTTCAGATCTTGTGATTATAAAGTGTGATGAAGTGGTGAAGCAGCGTGGGATCATGGGAGTTGTTGTCTTCACCACCATTGGCGTCATTGCAGTCAGCTTCTCCCG